TGAATTGTGTATAAAATGTCATTATCTTTAATTATACTGAGGAAATCTATGTCCTCGTCACTGTTTTGTGAATTTCGTGAACTGTGGTAAACCTCTTCACCCTCACTGTCTAAATTTAATCTATTATTATTTTGCCACTTGGATTGTCTATCTGGTTTAAGTTGTATGACATTATGTACCCCTATCGGCTGTCCATTAAGGTCTTGGAGTAAATATGCATGAGTAAATATTCTTTCTGACCAACTTATTTATTCTATACGGCCCATCGTAAACCAAGTGTATTTTTTTAGTGAGTCGCCTACCCGCGTCAGATCTCCAGTGGAGTTTCAACCATACTTTCTGCCCTGGAGAATACTCTTCAGCATGATTGTGCTTGTCAAACTGGGCTTTTCTCTTTTTAGCGGCCTTTTCTAAATTTCGCTGTGCTCTTTGAATTTTCTGCTCTTTTGTGAGTCTTATCTCAGGTAATTTCGGTTGTAATGCCGGATCAATCTCCAAATTTAACATTCCATCATAATGCAGTTCATCCGGTTACGCACAACAATTGCAAATCTTGAAAAATCGACAGAATGAAATCGAGAAGAAGTTAGACATGCTTCAAATAAGACGAGCTTAAAAAGGTAAGTTGATGAAGCGAAAGATTTCATGTGTGCCGTGGAGAATAAAAAAAAAAGATAAATAAGACTGTACATCGGATCTCTGTGCCATTTGCATGTCGTGTACCGTGACCGAACATGTCTGAGAAGAAAAATATTGAGAAGTGGCGATTGGTGAAAGAACTGCATGCCCCGGCAAGAAAAAATTTTACTCGAAGGCGCGTCATAGTTTATGAGTACGATGAGTACGATGTGGCAGGCAGATGTGGTCGAGATGCGACCTTACACGCGGTTCAACAAAGGTTACCACTACATTCTCACCGTTATTGATGTGTTCAGGAAGTTTGCATGGGCCGTACCGCTCAAAACCAAGAGTGGAAGTAAGATGGCTAAAGCAATCGTAAAGATAATTCGAGACGATAAAAGATATCCGAAAAATTTACAAACCGACATGGGAAAGGAATTTTACAACGTAATCGTACAGAAACTCTTGAAAAAACATGATATCAATCATTACCCTACGTATTCCGTAATGAAGGCGTCGGTGGTCGAACGATTTAACCGAACGTTGAAGAACAACATGTGGAAACAGTTTACGCTCAACAGAAATTATAAATGGATCGACTTGTTACCGCGTCTCGCGTCAGAGTACAACGCACGAAAGCATCGAACTATTGGTATGCGGCCTATCGATGTTACCCCCACGATCGCCGACAAGCTCTTAACCACGGTGTACAA